AACCCTAATGCTTTAGCATTGGTATTTATATTTATGTATCCCTTATTTATTGTTCTGATAGATTTAATTTTCCAGTCTGCCTGTCAGATGTACAGATCTGCCATACATGCTGGAAAGCATAGTGGAAACCCTATAGTGATGTACTTATGACTTGTTGACATTTCGGTAATAAACTAATTTTGAATTATTTATGCATAATAAATACTGATTTATATTGTATTTGGCTGAACATGGACAGTGCCAAACTGCTTTCTATAATGATCACACCAGTTTAAAACATCTTTAATGAGGAAAATGAAGTAAGAAGAAAGCAAAAACACATGGACTTTTTCTAAAAAATAAAATTGTTTATCAGGCTGATCTTAAAGACATAATAGAAATGTAATTATTTCTAAAATTTTTGAAGATCAAGAAAAAATAAAACCAAAGTCAACTTGATTGTGACTTGAAGACAGACACAAGTCTAAGAGTCAAATGGTCATTCTGTAACTCTTGATGTGGATAATCAGTAAAACTGTACAGGTAAAAAGTTAACATCTAGAATATTGAAAGCAGTAGTCATGTTATTTCTCCAGAAGACTTCAAAATTAATAAAATTACTTGTATGGAGCTTTCCAGTTTGTTTCTTTTTCACTAAATTCTCTCATTGATCCTTATAAACAGTGTGCACTACTACTTCAGAGAACACACATTAGCAATATTAGTTCAAAGGTTTTATTTAAAGCATATTTGTAAGTGCTAAACAAAATAGTTCCTATAGCTATACTAAAAATTAACTTTGATACTAATTTTCTTAATGCAGGATGTTAAGAGGGAATCGGTTGAGCGAAGGAACAAAAAATGAGATTTAGAAAGGAGAAAAGGAAGTCTAGGAGTAGTCATGTTTGCACAATTTTGGGGGGGCAAAGTATTAACTAACATTCTGTCCTTCAGTTGGCTGACTGCGGGTAGCAAAGAAAACTGCAGTGATAGAGTCTCCAGAAAATGGGCAGTTGGATGGAATTTCTGTGATGTTGGTCAGTGTACAGTCAGCACCTCCCCTTTGCTTAGATCTATCTGGGTTGTATTTCCTTCATGAAAATGTTACCTGTGATTCTGTCAAAAGTCGTTGTATAAAATTCCTAACGGTATTTAAAATTTAGTGAAACTTCTAAAGCTGTATAAAAGAGATAGACAACTAGCAATACAGTGTTAGAAGAGATTAATCCCTGCAGAGGTGATGCATGGAAATATATTATCTAATGCATATAGAGAGGAATTTTTAAGAGGAAGAGAGAGATGCCAAAGCTTGAGGTCACGTTATGTACATCACAGAGATCTGACCTTTATTCTTTAGGCATTAGAGAAAGGAAGAGTCAGTCAAGGAATGGTATGAGAATTGCATTGCCAGTGATGCACAGGATGGACTAGCGAAGAGAGTAGGCTGGAGGCGATCCCAGGTCTCAGTGCTCAAATGGGTAGACTAAAGAGGGATTACAGAAGCCTAATGACAACGTATGAGGAAAATAAAGAATAAGGTCACTGTTTTCTCAACTTGAGTAACAAGAATGATTATCAGTAAAGTTAAATCAAGAGGGAAATCTATCAGTCTTTGACAAAGAAAAAATTGTGCTTTTGCAATGTTTTCTATATATTGAATATCTACCATCTGTTCCACTGGAAGAGGATGGGTCTTCTCCCATGTGATGTACTGCCTCTGAAAACCTGCCGGGGGGTCAGCTATGCATTGGTTCTGACCTGGTAGCACACAACAATAGACCGGATATACTCCAGGATGGCCACATGAAGGAATAAAATGGGAAGAAATGCCTCCAAAGTGCTTCTTAGAGGAGCAGGTAGTGATTCTTCATTTCACATACTTCAGTTGTTATCAGGAAGGGCTGGTCCCTGAAAAAGACTATGTCATGCTTGGAAAAGTGGTGGGTCAGTCAAAGAGGAAAACCAGCCACAGGATGGACCAGCACAATGAATACACTTAATCACAATAGAGATGGTCAGAGTTTACACAGGGTTGCTAAAAATTGGAGTTGACTAGATGCCACCTAACAGTTACAACATATGTTACATTCCTTTCTGGTGCTTCCATCTCTTGACAAACACCCTTCAACCCTGGCCAGTTGTTTTCCCTAAAGCGTTGATCATTTTCTACCATAGGTTACCCTAAGGACATAGTGGAGTAGTTCATTACAAGCTGGGCTGCCAATTGAAAGGCTGAGGGTTGAAAACCAGAAGTCCTGAGAAAGAAAGATGTGAGTGTTAAGATTTCCATCCTTAGAAGCCTACTCTAAGTAGGAAGCAAACTGATGGTGGTTGGTGGCAGGAGCCAGTGGCATCCAGGAGAATCCTCACCTCCCCTGCCAGGACAGGCATTCAGTCCCTGCCTGTCAGTGGAGGTTCACTGTTGCTACGGTGCTGGACAGGTTAAGATGCACTCTCTAGGCAAAAGTAACTAGAAAGAAATACCTGGTGATCTACTTCCAAAGATAAGCTATTGAAAACCATATGGGTCCCAACAGTTCAGTTATAAGTTGATCATGAGAATGCTTCAAGGTTATGAGTCAGAGGCCAATCTGACAGCAGTTCACAGCAGCACAGTATTCAGTATACTTCCTTATTACAGCTATTGATGAATACCTGTCTTATGTGAAGAGCTGCAAAAGTGAAGAGATTGTTCTTGGTTTTACCCATTCATCTACATCAAGCATTTTGAACAGTGCCTGGTATATATTAAGTGCTCAATAAATGTTAACTCACTGAATGGACAGAAGGCATCTGAGACAGTATGTGCCAATGGGGTTGAAGAGTAACATACCTTGCATTTACTACATGCAAGACACTGTCTCTGATGCTTTTATATGTATCAATTTGTTTAATCTTTAGATTTACAGTTGTTATTAAGTGCTGTTGATTCGCAGGCTTCTCATAGCGACCCTACAAACAAAAGTCCTGGACACCTGTATAACTTTCATCCTTTCCCCAGGTTCATAGAGCTTCCAGAGGCAAGCTATTATGAAGAGGCTGCCACTCTTGCTTCCAAGCTTGTTTTAACTGGGGAGCTTCACCACACACTTTCCACCACGGGTAACCATTCTCGCATTTGACTCATCAATGTCACAGTGTTTGGCTTCACAGCAGTTACCTCTGTACAGAAAATGCACATACCAGGGTTTCATGACCTAGAAGAATGTTTCACCAAAAACAATTAAAGGTAGGTCTGAGGGCTGCAGCGTAGAGTCACCCACCTTTGGCTTAGGAGCTTTCTGTCTGCTAGGCCAGCTGCTCTCTCTCTCTGTTGTTGGTGGTGTTGTTAAATAAAAGGCCCTTTATTTGGCCTTTTGCAAAAAGGTTTGCTGCCTTCAGCTACAGTGTAAAATGCTATCCATTTTCTTTTCAAGACTAGTCAAAGTTATCTTCATTCAAATTCTTTCTGCCTCATTTTATAGACATTTTAATCAATGACAATCATTGAACAGTTACTAAGTAACTGTTCATACTTTTTGTACCCTCAAACTGTGATTCATATAACCCCATATAATAGAGCAACTGCCCCACAGGATTTCCTAGGCTAGAAATCCTACACATCTTTTTATCTATTCTTATGGAACTGTATGTTCCTTTAAGACTTTAAGGTTATTTGACTGTGTCCCCTGCAGCTAGTGATGATACAAAGGAACTTTATTTAAAAGTTGAATAAACTGGGCAAAATATTATTAATGTTCTGTTCTACCCCAAAATAATCCTGGGCGCATCAATTTAAGCACTGTGATTCTCTTTGGTTACATGGGAAAGTAGTCACTCTAGTCCACCAAATTATAGTACTTTAATTTGGTGCCCTTTAACATAGCCTTACACAATGACCTCTTTCATATAGAATATGATGTGCACAGCTGCCCAGTATACCTGGGGGACTCTTTCCAGGACCCCAAGATACTAAAATCCAAGGATGTTCTCTTTTCTTTTTTTTTCAAGGATATTCTCATAATGTCTCAATTTAGGGAGATAGTGGAGGCTTAAAGGAACTCTGGTGGTAGGAATAATATATAATGTATTAGGTAGGCCACTAAGTAAAACATGAACAGTTTGAATCCACCAAATAAATGTTCTTTGGAAGAAAGGTGGCATCTTCTTACATAAAAATTTTGGAAACACGATGGATGGGTATTTTGAGTTGGGTTTGTTTGTGGGGTTTTTGTTGAAGGTGAGGACTGATGATCATCACACTTTAATATTAAAAGGCTATTATAATTATAAATTAATTATAAAAATATTAATATTAATATTAATATTAAAAGGGCTGTTAACCCCATAAAGGAACACTTAGAGAACACTTAATAGTATTCCATAACCAACTCTGATTTCACTATCTTGAAATCTAAAAATTGTCACAATGACAAATGCAGAAATAGGTTTCTCGCTTCTAAAAACATTTTTTTTTCTCTCCTTTAATCTCATGAGTCACAAAGAAATTACTTTTCCCTACTGACATTAAATAATCAAGTTGTTGATTTTGTGCACCACTGAACTGGAATTGACCCATAGCTGACCCTCCAGTGGGTTTTCAGAGGCAGCAGACTGCATGAGTGGAGACTGCTCATCCTTCCTCCATGGAGCAACTGGGGGATTTGAACCGCGCTCCTCTTGATTTGCCGAGCACCTCATTAATACTGAGCCATCAGATCGCCTTAATTTATTTATACAAAATGAATCTGCTCTTCAATGAGCAAATGGACGCACTACTTATATGATCTTTACTGGATCCCTCAAGTTGCTGTCCTGTCACTATTTGAGTGATGGATGTTCAGTTGCCTTTTTCTGCATTAATAGGCCTGTTCAGTGCAGGAGTAGTGTACCATGATGAGGCAGACACAACAAACAGTTCTATAAAAAATTATATAAAATTGTGAAAATGTACTTTAAAATAACAAACGACAATACAAACTTAGGCTGAAACCAACAACAAGCAGACTAAATCTTTGAAGGTTTTTTTTTGTTGTACGCAGCTATCTTTCGAGTTTTTTCTTCTTTCTCTCTGGTTCATTCATGTCCATGTCTGAAATATCAGTGCTTATTCCTGGTATCTGAAAGAATGCAAATGGGGAAAAGAAGATCATTGAAAATCTAAATCTCCTCATTTTCCCCATCTCTACTGCCACTTCAAGGTTTATACACCAAATAGCACATAATAGCAATTCAAAAATGTAAAGGACAGATAAGGTTTCAACAGCTGAGAACCATGTCATACAGGAAGCATGGTTTTCAGGGTTATAGTTGTTTCCACTTCCAATTCAACCCAGTCTAGTGACTGAGAACAAGAGTCACATGCCTGAGGTGTACTGGGGCAGAGAAAAGTTAAGAATCAATGTCAGAATCAAAGAATCAAAGGCCCATGTTTCATCTTAATCCTCGAACGTACAGATTTCCAAACTGTTCAAAGTGAAAAGGTAAACACTTTTCTGGAATTTTTATTAAGGGCCCAGAAGAACTCCAGATGCCTGGAATTCCATAGCTTCATAATGTCAGTGAGAAAACAGAATTTGCTATTTGTCTTCCATACCACTTCCAACTTCTCACTAACATCAAATAGAAATACCTTTGACCATAGTATCACTTGAATATGTACCTGTTGTTGCATCACTGCATGAACATTAGACCTTTAGTCTTACCTGTGGCTCTACCAGGGACATTCGGATTTTCTGATGCTGAAGATTAGATGAGTCTAACATGATTTTCACTTTAACTTTATCAAATATATGGAACACCGTATCTTCTATTTTAAGTGAAGGTATCTAAATAAAAACACATTTATCATTCTTAATTGCTTTCCTAAACTTCAGACCTTGGTATACATCTTTGCATTTTACCTTAGAAATCATTATTTCACTTAAAAGTTTGCTTTAAGAAGATTAATACTGATAAACATCTATGTTCTTTTCAACGTACTAAAACCAGTTAATCTTGCAATATAATCCATTTATATGTATAATTCCTCTTTATTATTAATGTGGTCCAACTATAAGTTTTTTTCATCTTAAAATTCCTATTCTAGGATTTAGCAGTAAACTGTTGGGCTAATAGAGCAGTGTAAAATTATTGCAGATTCTTCTTATATTCTAAGAATTGTTAAGTGCCATGGAGTTGAGTAAGACTCCTAGTGACCCTCTGAACAGATCTGAACTCTGTATCCTACCCTGCCCATCTGTGTTATCCCACTGCTGCTGATACTGTATAAATCCATATCGGAGGGCCTTCCTCTCCTTCACCGACCCTCCACCTTTCTAAGCAAGATGTCCTTTCCCTAGGAATAACCTCTCCTAACAACATGTCCAAAATATGTGGCATGAAGTTTCAGTATCTTTGCCTACAAGGAACGAACACTCTGGTGGCACTTTCTCCAAGACCACCTGTTGGTTCTTTTGACAGTCAATGGGATATTTAGCACTTTTCAAAACTATACCTCAAATGTATTGATTCTTCTGTCATCATTATTAACTCACTGCCCAGCTCTCAAGACTGCACAGCAGTGTCTGAAAAGACTATGGCTTGAATCAGGCACATTTCAGTTTTTAAACAGACATCCCTGCTCTTCAGGGCTTTGGAGAGGTCCCTGGCAGCAGACTTTCCCAATGCTGCATATTCCCTGATCATCTGACTGCTGGTACTAAGAGTGCTGACTGTGGATACATTGATGATGATCGATAAGTCCAATCTTTTTTCCATCTACCATGAAGTTGCCTAATGGTTCAGTAGTGAGGATTTCTGTTTTCTTTATGTTGAGATATAGTTCAGATCGAAGGCAGTAGTCCTTTTGTAGTGAGGATTTCTGTTTTCTTTATGTTGAGATATAGTTCAGATCGAAGGCAGTAGTCCTTGATCTTCTGCAACAAACACCTCAAGTACGCCTCACTTTCAGCAAGCAATGTTGTGTCATCTGCATCACGGAGGCTGATGATAAGTCTCTGCAATCCTGATGCCATACCCTTCTTCTTATGCTTATTTATGCTTATGCAAATTTTTCATTATACTTTATTAGGCTATAAAATCTATACCTACATTAAATAAGCTTTTGTCCTAACAGAGCACGGACAGACTGCATGGTAAAATTGGGGAAGATGTGAGTCAGGGCTATATCCTTTCTGCATACATACTCAATTCTAAGGATGTTGTTGTTGTTGTTATGTGCCATCGAGTCGTTTGCGACTAATAGCGACCCTATGTACAACAGCCCTAAACCCTGCTCTATCCTGTGCCAACCGCATTGCCTCTGACAC